AAAAAAAAAAAAAAAAAAATTACAGTTGTCTTTATGAAGTGCTATTTCAAAGGTAGTCTGTAGCAGGGTTTCTCATCTTTGACACCATTAAGTTTTGGGGTCTGATAATTCTTTGTTGGGAAGAGTTTCCTATACATCGTAGGATGTTGATCTACATCCTAGGCCTCTACCCACTGTGTACCAGTAGCATTTCTGCTGACCCAGCCAGAAGTTTTTGCCAACCAAAAATGTCTCCAGACATCACCAAATGACCCTGGGGATGGGGAGAACAAAATCCCAACTTTGCCCCAGTTTCCAGTATTGAGAACTAGTGCTCCAAAACCACATAGAGGGGGATCCCACTCAAGATGGGGAAAAGGGCTTGGCGTCTGTAGCTCTGCAGCTAGGGTGCCAGCCACATGCACCAAAGCTGGCAGGTTTGAATTGAGCCCGGGGCCTGGCAAACAACAATGACAACTACAACCCCCCAAAATAGCGGGGCATTGTGGCAAGGGCTTGTAGTCCCAGCTACTTGGGAGACTGAGGCAAGAGAATCGCTTAAGCTCAAGAGCTTGAGGTTGCTGTGAGCTGTGATGCCACAGCACTCTACCGAAGGCAACAAAGTGAGACTGTCTAAATAAAAAACGAAATAAATAAGATGGGGAAAAGGAGAATCCTGGAAGATTTTGCAGAAGAGGAAACAACTGAGTGGTTTTTAGACAGGGGAAGAGCTTAACTTATTCCCAAGCATGGTTTCACAAGTAGATCTTTCTTACTTTGAAAACCAAACAAATGAACACCTCAGAATGCAATATTTGAAAAATTGATAGAGCAACCAAAATACTAAAGCAAGTAGCCTCACCTATCTAGGGTTATCTAGGTTTATAGCTTTTGTTGCCTTTCACTTTCAAAAATGTCCCTATGTGGTATTTGGTCCAAACTGTCCCTGGGCCCCTCAATACTGTATATTACTATTCAATTTTATTTTATTTATTTTTTTGAGACAGAGCCTCAAGCTATCACCCTGGGTAGAGTGCAATGGCATCACAGCTCACAGCAACCTCCAGCTCCTGGGCTCAAGTGATTCTCCTGCCTCTGCCTCCCAAGTAACTGGGACTACAGGCGCCCGCCACAA